TATTTTGATACCATATTGATATTATTGCTGTTATAATACTATAATTTTATTCCGATTGTTATCATTCTTGTTTCGTCACAGTTGCAGTTATTAATATTTGTCAGCATCATCGATGTGAGCTTAATTTTTTTTCCCGTTTGCCATAAATCACCTCTGCGATTTAATTGCAGAACGATGTCTATCTCACAAGTTGACCACTATAACTTTTTGAAATATTTGTCTGTTGTGGTCAGTGCTGTAAGTTTTCTTGTAGTCAACACAATTTGTAGTAATGTTTTATTATTTCTTTCGTTGTGAATATTTCATTCATACGCGTGTAGTTCATTTAATCTCTACTACATATTTATCTTCGTTGTGTAAGTTCTCTTAAGTAAGGTCCTATAAACGTACTCACCACGCTCATAATAAAACACAAACTAGAAAAAGATATATGCGTCATTCTAAGCTAACATCAAATAAGATAATCATGAGAATTTAATCAAACAAATGTATAATATATCAATACTCACTCGCTGTTAATTACACTTCTACATAACCCTGATATAGTTCCCCGAGAGAAGTAAACACATACGTAACCTCGGCTTTGACTGCGTGAGGAGAGGCGTCTGCAGCAGGCAAGGAGGACCCGGCACATGAAAATGAAGAGTAGCATTGTTAAATCACTTCTACGGTGTCAAAGTGAGTAAGGGTGATGAAGTTGTGTATATTTTTGTGGTTGTGTGTGGCTTGTAGGTGTTAATATTACTTAGAATATGGAAGAAACACTAGGAAAATATTTTTTTAGCGGGGGAACACCTGAGCTTTCGTGATCAGCTGGTGTTGCGGAAGGTTATTTTTATATCGCTTTTGGATTTTCGTTTGGTGGGATATTAATATGGGTAAATAGATGAGAATATCCTCTTCGCTGTAGGAAGCAGAAAGCAGTAATATTATTTGATCATGAAAGGATAAAAGGCAAGGAAAATCAGTAAGGGTTAACTTTGCTAATGAATATGTTCTTCAGAACACTTGTGTGCAACAGATCACAATGATATTGTTACTGATGGTTTCAACTTACCCTCTGTTAGTCATGTATGTAGGATTTATGCCACGGAACCCCCCTGCTATATCCCTCAAATAGTAGGGGAAGGCTTGAAGGTTATCAGGGACTTTGTCAGGTAAAATATGAGGGAGAAACATATGAAGTAGGTCACTAAATTATCTATTGCAGGGACTTTGCCCCTTGCTACCCTCCCAGGTGGAGTTACTACCCCCTAAACTCCAATTTGGAATCTTCCAGGTTGTTATGGTGTAGAACCAGCCAGAGGAAAGGAAAGGTTTAGAAGAATTAACAAGATTTCAAGTGAAAAAAAGGCTTTTATAATTTCTGATAACATATGGTAACCAGTGTAATCACAAATATCCTACATTGTTGCCTAAATTATTCACATATTTTAGTATATCATATCACTCTGTTAAGGGGGTACAGTTTATCACATGGAAGGGGTAGCAGCCTCTGCATTCCCAGTAAAATAATTTTAGAATGTTCTCCATCTTCAGTTTTTCTAATTTTCATGCTGGTTTATTTAACCGTTAGAACACATACTATAATAGTGCCTGAACTTCAGTTTCTTAGTTTTTATTTTTTTCTAAAGCCTCTGTATATGTACTAATTAAAGATTTCAACCTTTCTCAAACAGATGGTATGCTGCGTCCGAGTATATGTCGCCTTACGACATCAAGCTCCACAGGAGGTGGGGCACAAGCTCAGCCAAAGCATGATGTACAGGATAGCTCTTCACCAAAGACTGGTATCCTCATGTTGAACATGGGAGGTCCACAGACCACAGATGAAGTTCACGAATTTTTGCTTCGCCTCTTCAAGGATCGTGACATTATTCAGCTGCCATTCCAAGAGTAAGAGCAATGGTCATTTTATATTTTTATTTGATTTTATTTTCCCCCCCCTGTGCTACATACTGTTCATTTCACAGTTATGTATGTATACTGTATAATTTTAGCTTTTATTTAGTATTTTAGAAGAAGAGAGAGCATGGTGAGTCACTTTATATAAGATAGTATGTTGGGTATAAAATATGCAAAAGAAAATCTAATATGTATGCAGTCACACCGCAGACAATCATATCCAATTTGTGAGATAAAATATTAAGATAATAAACCTAATTTGATATCTGAATAATAAAGAAAGAAATAGTGAAGTTATGGTAATAGAACAGCAGCGTATCAATTCACTTAAGAAATCATTATTAATATGAAGGAAACATACTTATTCCATTATTTAATAATGAAAAATACCAAATAATTTCACTCAGAACATATGAAAAAAGGAATTGAATAGAAATTATTTGTTAGAGAATAACAATATATAAATTAATCACTATTATAAAATCACTAGATTAGGAAAGATTTTGATGCTAAATAAACTGACATGGAACTTTTTGAGAGCCTATTATCTTCAGTTACATGGGACATGGATTTGAACAAAAGAAGAAAGAACACCTGATATTCAGAAAAAGTAAATCGGCAGTTAGATGATTATGAAAGTTCTCTACAATATTTAAATGAGACAAGATCTCAGGTAGGATTGAAAAACAAAAATGTTAGGTATTTTATGTTGTTCTATTATTAAATTAAAAGTGAACAAAGGGAAGTGATAAGAGATCAAGATAAATGTAAACAGATATGGAAATTTAAATTTGAAAGAGGATAAACATATAAACAGGCCATACACAATAAAAAATTTAAAGATGTCAACAATTTATGTATAAATGATATTTTTTAATTAAAAAAGCAAATGATTATATATTTCACCACTATATTATAAGTTTGAAAATGCATACAATAATAATTACAGATAAAAACATAAGATCACCTTATATTTTTAGAGAATAAGATAAACACCCTTGAGTATTATGTTTGATTAAGGGAGGAGACTACTCTGTGAACGTACTTGAGAGAAATGACAATCCCGAGTCACTGACACTATCTAAAAAGCATTAACGATATGATATTCCGTTAATGCTCTAATACATCAGTTGTATCATGAATAGAATAATACCATTTGAGAAAAGAATTGAGAAAAAATTATGGATAGAAAGTGAGTATCTAAAGATATTCCATATACGATTGCTACTTATTGACACCCCTGATATTTATGACTTTGCCAATACATCACATTATTCCAATAGGTATATAACATAAATACTAATATATTACCCCGATAAATGATAAATTATTATCTTGAACATCTGTGACTAATACGACTAGAATGGGTAAGATGGTAGAATTATAGGAATGTGGAGAGTGTTATCACAATATGACTACATAGTATAAATGCATCAGCAGTAAGGAAATGGAAATGGAAATAATATATATAGCATTAGTGATTTTCAATAAGATAACATATCATACAGAGCAGACAAAATAAGTGATATGAGATATTAAGTAGTAGATTTACACATTAATAAATGGAGTGGTTATTAAAGAATGTGTAACTAATATAGATAGTATGTAATTTCTACAAAATCAACACGCACACACTACACAAACTTACGAGAGCACAGACACACACACGGCACACGACACTTTACATAGATATACATTCAACCAACACATTGAGATAAACATCTGAAGAAATAAACTGATAAAGTGACATTAAAATTTCTTGCACATACAGGGATGAGTTTGAGACTGGACAATTCGCCTTACTCATCACATTCCACACAGTAAGCATAGCATGAAAGTAACGATCAGGAATCCAGCAGAACGCATACCATAAATTCGTATGCTAACTAGGTTAACATTTATCATTTTAAGTTATTTATATATAGTGTACTAATCATAGGAATAGTATTGAGAGTGAGCCTATATATTATAGTTATCTTTTAGAATAATAGTTATATATAAGATAATATAGTAGTTTTGATGATATAAATGATGAGTTAATGAATGATGTAATCATTAATACAACATATTAATATAGTGTAATAAATGACATGTATGATATGATAATTATGTATAATTTTTTGTTAATTACTTAATGATAAAATATTTAGTGTAATATGTAATATTATATGTATAAATAATAAGTTATTAAAATTTAATACTAAGATACAATTTATATTATATATATATAATATAATAAAATAAAAATATATAAATTATATATATATTACTAAAATATAATAAATATATATATATATAATTTAAATAAATATATATAAATATATATATAAATAAGTAAGCTAATTATAAAATATGATAATTATAAACAAATATTAATGTATTATTTTATAAGAATATCATATATTATCCTTATTATAAGTTATATTATATAATGTTTATTATTAACTATTATATACAATATTATATTATATAATAAGATATATATATATATATAATATTATAGTATATAAATCATAATTATAATATTATGCTTAAATAATGATATATAATACACACTATAATATAGTAATTTATCTATATTGCTATTTTGACCATACAATGTAAGATTAAGGTAGAATAAGTATATAATATGGAATAATCTGCTCATATATTATCAATAATATACAAACGCAAAACACAATGACTTATTATATAATACATCTTCGAAAGAAGCTCAAACAAATATAATTATGTAATATAAAAGCAATAAAATTTGATTAAGAATATCCAATAAGAAGTATAGTAAGTAAAAAAGGGTTAAAGAGGAGAGGGGGGATGAAATAAATTAAAATGCTGCACATTACAAAATTACTAAACACTTTATAATATTAATATAATAATATCTATAATTATTATACATAGAATTGAATATGGAAATCTCGTATAAGAGAGGTTAACTGAGAGGTTTATAGATAGTATAAAATGGAGGCAATAATAATATAGGGAATAGGGAATTGCTAAAAAAGTAGGAGATATAATTGTATAGTTAGAAAGGGTCACAAATTAATATATATACAATATGGAAGGAAAATTTATGTATGTTAATTTAAGAGATAATGCAAATATTCATGATTATTACTATATGATAAAAGATAAATATCATATTAGTTATTAGTATATAGAGAAGAATGGTGTATGGATATATAAGGATATCAAGTCTGTGATCATAAATGGATGATACTGTATGAGATATATTAATTCCACCATATGTATAGTATAAAAGATAAGCTTATTTGATGTATATTAAGCGAAATATATAGTTTGGCTATGCATAATCTATGTAAAAGGCAATATCATAGGATAATATGGTGTGTATGCATAGAGGAAGGATATAATAAAAAAAAGGTTAAGGAAGAACACACACTAGGGAATGATAAACAAGGAAGATACAAAGGTGAGAGAGATAATATAGCTAAGGGCAATTTTAGTATTGTGACAGAACAAAGGGAGTTTGGTCATAACAAAATGTTATTATAATGTACCTAATTATTTCTGTAATATAAAAGAATAATAATTACTTGCTAATAGGGAGTACGGAAATGGTGAAGATATGATAGGGAGTTGAAAAGAGACAATGTGTTTAATTGAGAGGATAGGGCGAGAGTAGGTGTAACCAAGGAAAGGGTGTGGATAAAGGTATAAAGAAGGGAAGTGGTAAAATGATTTAAGGATTGTGGTTTAGTTGACAAGGATAATTAGAAAACACATAAGGACCGTAAAAGTCGGCATTAACTAAAGGTGAATGTAAGATAGTAAAGAAAATCCTGAGGTAAATAATAAGATATTAGTATATAGGTAAAAGGAATTTATGCACTGGTTTAGAGGGATGAGGAGGTAGACAAATGGGAATGTAAGAAAGATCTGGAGAAGATGAAGATTAACATTAATATAGGAAAATTAATATATAAACAATTATATTAGCCCGAGGAATTAGGGGCATAGGGGTGGAAAGCAAGAAGGATAAATTGAAGACAATAATGGGAGTCGGAAGCAAGAGAAATCCAATCAATAAAGGTATGCTCATTAAATCACAGTACTAAAGCATTAGGCAAAAGAATGTAAAGCATAAAGTTTTGAATCCCTATGAAGACAAAGCCAAAAATTCAGGTTTAAAAACCATAGTAAGGAGTAAATAGTAATAAGGGAATAAAAATTAACCAAAAAAAACCAAAAGAATTAAAAAAAAAGCAGTACTGTTATAAAAAATAAAAAAATAAACTATTAATGAGGAAGACCACTCAACATATTGGACATACCCACTACGAGCATAATAAAATACCATTAACATAAAATAGTGGCAAAGCAAGTAAACATTTGTAAATAAAAATAACCATAGTCTACAAGGCTAAGGGGACATAAGAAAATCACTAAGATTAGGGTAAAATAAATATCTGTATAGGAGAGAGGCATATGGACTAACTTAAAATCCTCCGTACTAATAGATAATCTAATTATGGAAATACAAGGACTCATTGGCCAAAGAATATAATAAAACTAAATATACTGGTGGACTTAAATGGCAACCTCTGGAGGGGATATTGTAAGCTAGGTGTACTGGTATTGTACATAGCACAAGGCAGGTGAACAAAGTCGCTTACTAACAGTCTGGCCTAATCCTTGTAAATAGAACAAGGACAATCTGCCTCCGGTATCTGTAATGTATATGTTATATGTATAATGAATGCCGAGAATAAATAGAATCGATATTACTTAGTAAAGGGAATAAGAACGTAAGAAGATATTTAAAGATAAAAGTGCGCCCATGTACAGTAAAAGAGAGTTCAGGAAATTACATAGTTATTTGCTAGTGTATGGTTCTATTGTTTGTGTCTTATGTATGTCAGTTGCCAGATCTGTGGAAAGTCGGGGAATTAGAAAAATGTGAGGACGTCATCTGAATCGACTGGTTGTACGAACGCACAGCCTCCTCGTGAGAGATGTTTGACCTCTTGATAATCATAATAGAAAGGATAATGAGGAACATGTTTCCCAGAGACGAGAAAGAAGAGAAAAGAGAAATAATTTGGGTAATTTTTCCACCACCTTGTCCTCCTGCGTGCGACAAAAAAGTTTTCGCGCCACCTTGACAATGAGGGGAGATAGGTGCTGGAAACTTTCTCCTATTAGTACTTCAAGTATTACTATTATGCTATATCATGTGGACTAAGATGAAGTATCTCAAAAGTTAACAGTTTTTCCCTATGGAAAGAGAACTTTATATCTTTAGTGGTGCATATGTGGCAGAAGCAGAATATAATGATTGTTTTTATTCTTATTATTTTTTCTTCTTTTACTATTTTTTTCTAAGTTTGAAAGTTTTGCTATAAGAGAAGTTTCTACAATTTATGTTAGAGATTAGGGTCTCTTCACCTAAAAATATGTTTTTAAGTTACAAAGTAAGTATTTGTGTGTTGTCCTTGTTATTCAGAGAATATTTTAGCTAATAAATGATCATCTGAAATTTTAACAGCAAGTTGGGCGTGGTGATCCCTATTCTGCTGAGGTTGGTGCTACAGTACAGCTTGTTATGCAGGAACTTGGATTTACAAATCCATATCGTTTGGTATGGCAAAGTAAAGTAGGGCCTCTTCCATGGCTGACTCCAGCTACAGATGATGCAATTAAAGGTGAATTTGAGTGCATGACCTGTCATAGTCCATATTTATGTGCAAGTCTTGATGATAGCAGAAAAACATTGAATACTCAGTCATCTTAGTCTTTATCCCAGTAGACTGCAATTGTAGTGTTCTGTTATTGTGTTGATAACCAGTGTTTTCTGTAATATTTCTTATTTAGGTCTTGTGCAAAGAGGAAGGAAGAACATGATCTTAGTCCCAATAGCATTCACGAACGAGCACATAGAAACCCTGCATGAGATGGATATTGAGTATGCTGAAGATCTTGGAAAAGAGGTTTGTAGTTTGGCTTTTATAAGATATTGATATTTCATAAATGATAAAGGTGATCTGTGAAGTCTATAGTGTTTATGTTACACATCAGAAAATTTTCCTATGATGATAAATTAAATGGGTGCTAGTCAGCATAGCAGAGTTTAGAATAGTGGCTGTAATGCTTTATATCCAGTACATTTATGCCATTTAAGAGTATGATGAAATATATTACGAGCCATAAATGTATTCCCTTATACAGGTTGGAGCTGAGTGCATACGCCGATGTGCATCACCTAACGACCATCCCTTCTTCATTGATGCCCTTGTTGATGTGGTCAGCAAGCACCTACAAGAAGGTCATAGGTGCTCGGAACAGTTCCTCCACAATTGTCCTTTGTGTGTAAACCCATCGTGTTATGCTTCCAAGAAGTGGTTTAGATATACCACCAAAAAGTTTTAAGGTTTATTAAAAAAGAGAAGAAAGAATTAAAGATAGAGGAATTGCATACTAAAAGATTAATGCAAAATATGTAGAACAATATAGAAGAGGTGGGTAATTGGTTTTATGTATTATATATGGCAAACTATTTTCTTGACTTGACCCTGTTTTTTTGGAATATCTTTTTTATCATATTTAAAAATCAGATTTGCATTTATTTATTTCAAATCTCATATAAAAGTAGACAGAAAGATGATACAGAAAAGGAGCCAAAGAGCCAAAAGTGAAGATTGTGCAAGTAATCAGCTTATTATGAATTACCAGTGAATGTAAATTGTATGCAAATTACCCCTAATTGTTAACATTGAAAATGCGCTTTTATATAGCCATAATTCAGGTTCATTATTATGCAACCATTGAGAAAATACACAACCATAGTATTTATTTACAAGACCTTCACTAAGTGATAAAACTTGATTAGAACAAAAACAAAAATGTTTAGGCCCTAATCCAGATATGCCAGGAGGATAAATGGCTTAACAATGTGTGTAATAGGCAGAATAGTACCAAAGCAGAGGCATACTACTACTTAATGTGATTGTAAAATTTTGTCTTCAAATGATGTGAGAAATCATTTGTAGGAACTGGCTGTTCATTTTTTAATTCATCTTTAGTTTGAATACTGTGGTTATGGGGTATGATACTTTTAATGTTTCATTGTTACTATCAGTTTTTTTTACATCATTTTCATATCATTTACTTGTGTTGTATTTTCATCTTAATTGGCCTAGTTCAACCTTTTGTGTAGTAAGGAGCACAAAATCTTAATATAAAGATAAAATCTTGATATAAAGATGAGTAAATAATGACATTTTTTCCTTCAAACTGTCTTAGCTTCTTCTAGTTAAAGCCACAGAACAAAAGAATTCAGACAGACTTATGACACTAATTATAGATAATTCTGCTGAAGAGGTGAAGGACTGCAAGCTCATCTCGATATCTCCCACATTGTAGCTTCCAGTATTATGAGTATTTATTGTTGCACAGTAACCCACTGGATCCGGGTGACTTGACAATCACATCATGAAAAATTTTGGTTGTGGGCCAGGTTGATGAGAATGCCTCCTTTAAATTTGACTGAGGGTCAGAGTGACAGGAATGTCTGATCAGGATTGCACAAAGATCTTGGAAGGTGATTTGACCGTGGGCATTTAGAAAGCTCCTCTTACATTTCCACCAGTTAAACAAAGGGGAAATGTACCACCAATGACCCTATTCCTGCCCACCATGGTTGGCTTTGCAGGGTGTGTAAAAGAAAATTGAATGTTACAAAAATATTTTCAAATGACAGTTACCTATTGTAATTGTTATTGCAGAGTTGTAGGCAACCAACAGAGATAAATTGAAGCCTGATCAGGGAAAACACATTGTTATCACATTAATATTTGTCTTTATGCTAAATCAGACTATAGAAAACAGTCAAACTGCAAAATATGTAAAAAAAAAAAAAAAATAAAATAAAAAATAAAAATACAACATACATATTACAAAATCCAAGGATTCTTGATAACAGGCATGAGTGTTTGTGTGGGCTAGGCTTACAAGCCACACACCCAGGAGTCAATATTCAAGCTTAGATTTTGGTCCATGTGCAGACCACTAGCCACCTGGATCTATTGGGTTAAACTAAGAAATATATATTTGTTATTTAAAAATAATTTGTTTCCTTTAACCTTTACTTAGAGTATGTTGTTGATAACTTTAAACATTGGTTACTATACAAACTGAGCAAATGGTAAATTCAGTTTTATGAAGTTCTAGATGTAAAACTTTTTTTGCTGTGGGCTGTGGCATAATGTTGATTTACCCTGCATTGTGCCTCAACCAATTTTGCAGTTATTTCTTCTCATTCTTTTCTCCATCTCCTTCCTAATGTGTGAGCCATGTTAAACAGGTGAAAGAATGGCTTTTGGGTCAGTCCGGAATGGCCTCAGAGATCCATGGGCATGGTAATCCCCTGGTTAGTCATTTACCCCTACCTATCATGCACTCTTGTTAGGGTCATTGAGGGTTGTCTACATACTAACTAGCCCCCTTGATGTTAACCAGCTCTTCTTTAGTCCCGGCTTTGACCACTGTTACCACTACCCCATCCTTGATGCTTGCTTTCAATTCGGTTCATTCTGAGTTATTCACCAAGTTCATTCCTCAACCATGAGAATGCATACCTGCTGGATCACAGTTGTTTTAGTTTAGCTCTCACCTTACCTCTGCCCTACCTTGCACCTTTGACAGAAAATCCTTTTAAGTGCCCATACCCATAAATGAATTGCCAGACAATGGTCATACTGTATTGAATAAACTGACTATTGCCAGTCATGCATGTCCACTAACCAACTTCACCTGTGAACAAGTTTCAGGTATCTATAAGTAGCTTTAATTCTTGCAGTGGGTCTTCCTAAAGGAGTCCAGGGGAGAATACTACCTGGAGACTGCTGCCCTCATAACCAATATTTTCTCCTATTGGTTTAATTTACATATCAGAAGTTTCTTCTGTTGCTCACCAAATGCTAGGTTTTCTTATCTAATATTTTTCTCCACCTACAAACTTTCTACTTTCCTTCCACCATAAAAGTTGTTCTTATATACTATACACCATGGCATGTATGTACATGCCATCCCAGTCAGCATTAGGAAATGAAATAGGCAATATACTTTTCTGTAACTGTTCTTATTTCATTTTATTACTAACACCTATCTCTTGGCATTGAAAAAGAAATGTAGTTTAATGAAAGAAACAGTCTATTAAGTCTTTAATATATAAACAATGGTATAAAAAATGAAAGTGCATTTTGCAAAGATATCTATACAATAATCTTAGAATCAAGAAAGATGACATATGCATGATATAATGAAAATAGATAAATTTATTTGATCGAAGGCAAAAGAGAATATAAGACACCTAGTTTATCAATGATTACAAAAAACATGATCCTTTGTAATGCAAATACAAATACACAAAATTGTTAAATAAACAATAGTTTCGTAAATTTGCCTATGTTGAATTTATTAGTCTATATCACTCCAAGCGTATCCTTCATATCTTGGATTATGTCCCTCGAAGCTGCTGTATATCTCCTGAAACAAGAAAGTAATCATTTTTATTTTTATTGTAATTATACAGAGCAATTAATGCCCCTATTAATAACAACACAAATAAAATATGGAGAAAAGGATGATTCCTTTCACTGATTTACTTCCCTCAGATCCCAGTTGACTATAAGTTTTATACAATTATATTTAACACTAAAAAGAGGAGAGAGGAGGAGGAGGAGGGAGGAGAGGAGGAGGAGAAGGAGGAGAGGAGAAAGAAGAAAGAAGAAGAAGAAGAAGAGAAGAAAAAGAAAGAAGAAGAAGAAGAAGAAGAAGAAGAAGAAGAAGAAGGAAGAAGAAGAAAGAAGAAGAGAACAAACAACAACAACAACAACAACAAGAAAAGAAGAACAAGAACAAGAAAAGAAGAAATGGAATGGTAAATATGAAACTGCTACAGACTTAACCACCTAAATCCAAATAGTAAAGATGATGATGATGAATAACAAAACTCAATAAGTATCAGTAACTCACTCGTACACTCCATAGGCTGACTTTTTATCAGGATCTTCTTCCTCAGGACAGGTAGGGAATACAATTCTTGACATTACAGAATCGACTCTAACCACGGCTTGCTTGAGACTAGATGGGGAAATCTTGCCACTGTCTCTTATCAAGACCTTGAGCAAATGTGTACAAGCCAGGAGTGATGTTATGTCCTGCAGAGAAAAAAAAGAAGCATTCTGAGTAGGAATAAATGGGGACCATCCTGGCTGTTGCCCATCTTGTTCTGATTAATAAAACTTGGAAAAAAATACACACATACAAAAAGAAAACACTCAGACTATGTGTGCTTTTTATCCCTTCTCCTGTCACAGGGAAAATTTAAAATGTTAAAAATAAGCAACAAAAATGTCTTGCATGTTTGCATCAGCATAATCTCTGTTCCTTCTGGCTGTTCTTGCTGAATTTGTGACAATTTTAAATCATACAATGCGAAAGACTATAAAATGCAGGCTACAGGGAGGGCAATATCTCCATGCACAGGATCCTGTAGCAGCCACAACCTGCAACACATACAACTCATGTTCCAAATACTTCCCAGGCTGTTTCATTCCAGGACCAACGGCCTTGTCTTCATTCGTCGCCAGCAGGCTTGCTCAAACAGGCTCCCCTTTCCTAATTTCCTAGTCTACTTAAAGTCCCAGACACACTTCATCTGAGCAGCAGCACCACAGGACAGCCCTGCCCTTCTCTAACTAGTGATTCTCCCTGGCCCCCCCTTAGAATTCCACTTCACCTACAGCACCCAGCCATCACACCCACACTTAATTACTCCTCAAGGAGATTAACCCCCAGTCATGCAGTAGAAACATCTATTTACTACTATCCATTCCTGCCTCCCCTGACACACAGCAACTGAATAATGCAAAAAAACAAAATAAATGACATAAATAACATAATTGCTAATGCTAATGCAGAGATGTAGAATAAGAGTGGTAATATGGAGTCCGTTTAATGTAAATAGTTTACTACAATACTGATATAACATAACAAATGACAAACATAGACCCATTAAATGCTTATGCAGACATTATAACATTGCAAAGGGATGGCAAGGAGTCTTACTACTGTACATGAATGTTCATGCATGCCAGATCCAAGCGATTAAGTAGGAGATTCTAAAAAGAGAAAGTATTGGGGGTTATCTCTTCTCTATGTATGGGTACTTTTATAAAATTTGTGCGGAGCCTGACCCAACTAATACATATACACGGAAATAACCATATATCTCTAAGGGAGAAACAGATATTTCTATAAATAGTAACATGACAGCTACTAAGAATCACCAAACCCACAAAATAAATGTGCACTTCTCATTCTGCTATCCATGACACACACAAAAAGAAAAACTTACTTGTACCGCTAAGGTCAGCTTCATAAAGGATGTGATAAAGGCTGCTGAAAGTTTTGCACGGCTCTGACACACTCCTACTGTTAAGGCAACAAATCCACCAATTTCTTTGACTGAGTTCACATCTGTGTCCACACCTTTCACCTGATGTAAAAAAAGTGCAGAAATATTATAAAAAGACTAAATATTACAAACCTATCTAGGCCCACTGGCAAGCCTTATTAAGTGAACTACATAACATACAACATAAAATCTAAGATATGGCATAATACAAATATATCATTGTAAGTTGTTAAAAGATGCTCAATAAATAATTTGGGATTTTGCATTTTTAAATTCTACAAAGTTATATTTCCAGACACAGGAGTCACACTCACCTTATCAATATGCCAACTGAGATGATCTATCACAGAAGACACCAGATATTTCATTGCACATGAATTTGATGAATTACCAAAAGATGTCAATACCAGGGCCAGCATGTTAGCAAGGTCTCCATCCTGTGAAACATATATAATTAACCTCTATGCCTGTAAAAGTGCTGCTGGCATTTCCTGCAAGGCATAAAAAAAAAAATCTTCCTCATAGTAAAGAAAAGGAGAACATATCTCTTAACCCAGTCAAAGCAGGAGCCCCCAGTACAATATCAAACACATCAGGGTACATGTGGAGTCAGCAGTTTGAGGAAAATATCAAAAGCATTGAAAAGATAAATTACCCTACCCTCTCACCTCTTGGCCCAGGCTTAAACAATCTTTAATGTAATGAGACTAAAAAGAGATTTTAAGCCTACTTCCTTGGGGGTATTTCTCCGTCATGAAAGCAGCCAGGACCAGGCAAGTCCACAACTGTTTAGCATGCACAACAGCATTTATGTTAAGGACACAAGCAAGCCTCAACATAGCAAATTACTCCCACTCTCGAAATTTAAACAGGTTGTAGCACTGATCCAATCCTCAGTATCTAAATGCCCTAACCATAATGCATACCAAAATAATCTATACTCCAAAAGCAAAAATCGACGTTACCCCTAGAGCATAAGGCATAGAACATACTGCGTATATATTTCTACATTTATCCTCCTAAACACTCGATATCTACATTTATTAATTATTTTATTACATGACTTTCACCATAAAATCCTTACATATCAGAAACCCTCAAACATATAAAAAAAAAAAGTAGTGAAAAATAGTAGTGTTGTTATAACCCCCACTGAATCAAGACTGTGCAAAAGCTTTAGATATGAGACGAGGTCATACACTTCACGATAAATCATACCTGAGGCAATTTTTCTTGTTGTTTGCAGAAATCTGATATTGAAGTCAAACAAGTATTTATCAACTGCTCTGGACTGACCCCTCCAAACTCTTCAAGGTCATCACTTTGGGTCCCATACACTTCAAGGAACCCGTACGCTTCTTGTGCCAGTACCAGACTTTTCTGCCAAAACTTGTCCGAGGCATCTACAAGGAAAATATCAAAATGTATACATGCAATATTTTGATTCACTTTTATCTTTAGTAAATAATAAACTTTTTACTTCTTATACATAGAGATTTTGTATGTTGTAATGTAAACAAAAGACCAACAATTTTTGCAGACACCTTTTCCATCTCTCTCAGACTTAGGAAGAGAGCGCTACTTACCAGTTTTTAAAAGTTCTTCAGTGAATCCACAGGCTTTATAGGCAAAGGAAGGACCTCCAGCTCCAACAATGAGTAAATTGGTGATGCAAGCAAGAAGGTCACTCAAGGCACTTACAGCAAGCACTGGAGCATCTTCTCCTGCTCTTAATTTTCTCTTGCCACTCTGCTCCTCCCCCAATGTTGGTATCAAGACTCTGAAAGAGTTAATGGGAAAGTCAGACAAATGACAACTCCTTACTATACACAGCATTTACAAAGCAGCAATTACTAAAACAAATAATTACAAAAAAGATAAGAAGAAAAAGTGTGAGTTAACTAATACAGCCAGTAAACAACACAAACCTTCTGCACCAATCTATACAGGTAACTACAGTGGCAGTGCTGTCATATATATCATCCACTGGAATCTCTTTTTCACATACTGCTCCTCTCCTCTTCTCGCGAGGTTCTTCGGATATGTGAGGTGGGTTATGAAGAACTGCAACCAAACTCAAGTACTGAGCCCAACACTCACACAGGAATCTGTCGGAGCATAGTGCTGAGAGCTCTTCTGTTTGGTTCAAACGATCACCTAAAAGACCCTGAAAAAGTAGTTTGTTTTGTCAATATCTATATTTGTGGGTAAGGGTTATACTTAGTATGATTTCTCTACACATTTGCAGAAATTTAACATAGGCAAACATTTCTCATTTATACTACTTCACTAAATAACAATAACTATATTAATAAGGACATGCATATTAATAATAAAATAATTACAATTTTAATTATAAAAAGAAATAGCGATAAAAAAAAAACATACAGAAAAATAAAGAAAGCTTATAGCCTTCATTGCAGTCACTATACCTTCACATTCGCCATGTTCTCTGACATTTGTACTAAAAGATGTCTGTTTCTTCCAAGAGCTGCAAGTTTATTTAATGGATGCTGTAGGATGTGACCAACAAGACGTAGAGCCAACAGAGGTTGTGGTGAAAGTTCCTCTTGGAATCGCACACCTTTGCGGCTTTTCCTGCGTTCCTGTCGGCAATTACAGAAGCGATAATACTTTTTCCTCTTCTTGTTTCTCTCTTATCTGAAGTTCAGTTTATCAGTGCATACAAAAACATATCATTAAAAATATATGAACACAACTCAATCACTTCACGCTATATTAATCGTAACAATGATGATAATCACAATATTGAAATACCTGCAAAATATACATAAAAAGTAAAAACAAAAGTAAGAGCAAACTAAACCAATGATAATGAAGATAATAAATATGATAGAAGGAAAATAAAGGGTTTATGTTTTCTGCCCAAGACCAAACTCTTTCGAACAAACTGAAGAAGAAAAATAAGTTACAAGGACATGCAAGAGAAATGTAGATTGTGTGAAGAACATGATGAATACATATTCCACATAGTAGCAAGCACAATGTACAAAATGTGTCCACACAATATAAAGAGACGTGTCAGTGTACCATAAATCGTACACATAAAATGAAGCAGAAATTTCCTTTGAAAGCCAAGTATGTTATCCTATAAGATTCAACTTTCAAATAGGCCATCCAATAGAAAATAGTTATTCTGATAATGACTGGAAACAAGAGAAAGAATATGCTAAATACCTAATGCAGCTGGTTTACATGCAAAATATTTAGAAATCTGGAGAATGAGTTAGAAAAGTTGCATTAAAATATGAATAGAGAGAGAGAGAGAGAGAGAAGAGAGAGAGAGAGAGAGAGAGAGAGAGAGAGAGAGAGAGAGAGAGAGAGAGAGAGAGAGAGAGAGAGAGAGAGAGAGAGAGAGAGAGAGAGAGAGAGAGAGAGAGAGAGAGAGAGAGAGAGAGAGAGAGAGAGAGAGAGAGAGAGAGAGAGAGAGAGAGAGAGAGAGAGAGAGAGAGAGAGAGAGAGAGAGAGAGAGAGAGAGAGAGAGATGAGATGAGAGAGAGAGAGAGAGAGAGAGAGAGAGAGAGAGAGAGAGAGAGAGAGAGAGAGACTACATTGCACTGCAAAATGCAAGGAATGTCCCTGAAACCTGAAGCAGTGAATGACTATCAAACCAAAACAATGTAAACAATAACTAGTAAGTGGACTACTTTGTATGTGGGAAGAACCGAAGGCAGAATTACATGTCTATCTAAAAAAAATGATTATTATAATAAAAGAAAAATCCAAAAATATCAAGGAATGGGGTAAACAGGTGAGGTGAGGCAGGTCTAGTCACTGACTCCTTGGTAACTATGCACTTGTGGAGCCATCTATTTAAGTATTAAAAAATTAATTATCATAATCTAAATGTTAACCAATAGATAAAACAAAAACAAAATGCACAGCGCATGTTACCAATGCCGACGGTCTAAGTGCTACCCAGCATGCCTATGTGGTTAGACAAAGACAAGCAGTTATATTAAAGGTATTTCTTTTTACCATTTGCCTCCTCCCCCCATTTTTTAAATAATAAACAGCTATAACGCAAACACACACCTTAGTATAAAATATCAAGTTTTATGGGCCAAATAGAACATTCAAGGGACTTGAGCACAGTGCTCTCCCCTAAAGAAAAAGTGAGAAGATATTTCTGTGCAAAGGACTCACCTTACTACTTGTAGTTACACCAGCACTAAAACCTTCATTCAGCCATTCTGTTGCCAGTTCCAAGATGTCATCTACACGATTCCAGTTGCACAGAGCATTTACATATGTGACATAAGATTCTTCCTTGTCCTAAAATAAATAAAAGAACATAAGGAATTATTATCCTCTGTATATCACACATCCATATCCTATAAAAACTTATATATTTTCAACATGTGGCAAATGCAAGACAGAAGAGAGGAATCTGTGCTACTGGTCTTTTGATCAGAAATGAGGATACAGAACAGGCCCTGTGCCCATTGGTTATAGGGAAAATTTAAGAGGATGGTCAAGAGGATGATGAGGGAGAGTAAAGAGAGTAAAAGAAAATTCAGTTTCATGAAAAGTGTAACCAATAATGCCAATAGAGTCTGGCCGACTTGAGCTAAGAGAGTGACTAATGTTGGCCACCAAGACAGGTATCAAGAAAGCAAGCAGAGCAGTTGTTGCAGCTTCATGGAATTAGTGGAGAGAAGTAGCCAGCTGATTAGGATACGTCATGAATCTAGAGGAAAAGGGTCCATCTTGAAGGGTTGAGGAGATAGAGGTGGTGGAGGGGCACATACGTCATTAGGGCCTTGAATGCTAAGAAGGTGCATAATGCAATACACAGAGAGAAGATACAGAGGAAGTTGATGGTGAAAAACAGGCTCAAGCCAAAAATTATCATCCATCCCAAGACTAGGGAAAAAAAGCATGATAACTGAGCATGATTTATGATACATATACTGTGTACATCATAGAATCAACATAAAAGAAAAACTGACATCAAACTGGAAAAAGCACATGGGACAGATAAATAATACTATAGTAATAATTAATGATAATAATTGATAAAAATAATAAAATAATCATGACAAAAACTAATTGAAAAAGAGCACTATAAAATAGCCAAATCTTTGGAGGTTAGAAGATACATAAATAATAGTAATCATATGAAGTGCAAAAAGAAAATCATCTGAATGGTAGAATGCATGTAAGAAGACAATGAGAAACTGTAGGAAAAGAAAAGGAAGAAAAGGAGAGAGAGAGAGAGAGAGAGAGAGAGAGAGAGAGAGAGAGAGAGAGAGAGAGAGAGAGAGAGAGAGAGAGAGAGAGAGAGAGAGAGAGAGAGAGAGAGAGAGAGAGAGAGAGAGAGAGAGAGTGTGTGTGTGTGTGTACAAGCCACAACATACACAACTCACCTGGTCTTGCTGCAGTCCTCTTAGCCGTGACATACAGTGACTGACAATGGTAGGCACTAAGGCTTTGGGAAGGAAGCTGGACAGATACAGAAGAGTCTGGGATACCTCATCGTTTTCCTGGACAATGAAAAGTAAATAAAAAAATTTACTATAGAAAGTATATAGACACAAACGAATACGATTAACCATCATTCCAAAACAAATTTCCTAGAATTTAAACAAACATTGTCTGCTTTCCATGTATTGAACCTTCTTAAATATATTACATATCTCACAATCAAAGTATATGAAGAAGCATTAATCAAAGAAACTCTAAAAAACACCAAACAAACAAACAGTTTCCTTAATCATTCATAGCAATTCTTTAAACCTTACAGTAATAAAAAAAAAATAACTTCAAACAAACGTCCGACTTTTTCATCTAATGTAAACTGTAAATGTAAACAAAATCTCTCACCTTGAAGGCTTTGAAGAAAAGGGGCATGCTTTTGGACACCCTAGTTCGTATTGCTTCAATGTACTTCTCATTTTCTGGCTGTGCCAACCTGTGAGCATTAGTTGTCCAAATAATGACAATGGTATCAAAGAGTCCACCTATAACTGCAGGGTTGTCGAGTGGAGATGCACTATCATCAGCAGTTTGTTCATCATCACTCACATCTGTTAAGACATTACAAAATTCCTTAGTCTCTGGCTATAACTGGGAATGTATGCAATGTCAACATGCATCATACTACAAATGCTCACTAATTCATAACAGTCATTCAAATTCTACAAATGCAAGTGCAGCATGGGATATATTTGCAATGGCATAGAAAACCTTAAGTAGCTAAGAGAGAAGAAAGAGAAAAAATCCTGTAATATCAATTACTGTTGAAAAAGAAAGAAAGGAGGAAAGAAGCAAAAAGAAAATATATAAAAATATCTATACACATACAATGTTCATAACATCACTTCCTTTACCACGAAAACCAAATCCAATGTATATCAAGGGATGCTACCCTATTCTCACCTTTCCTCTCCTCACTTTCCTTGGCAGCAGCAGAAACGGCTTTCCTCTGGCTTGGAACTGGAACACACTGATGTTAGTATACACCTTGTTATCCACAACCTTACTTAGCAACATACTACTTAACAGCCGAAGCAACTGTTACCCAAGGCTTCCTTGCGCATGGCAAAACCAAGATACATCTTCAGCTATTGTATGCACACTATATCAGGACAGTTTCCAAGGGATATGAAAAGGGAATAGCTTTACATTTCTTTATATCCCTGTTTAAATCTACCATCATCAAATTCAATATCATTTAAATGAAACTCCTGCAATCTTATACGTATGAAAGAAAATGAATAAACAAATCAATGAAAAATAAAATTAGTAATAACAATAACAATTACCCTATTTATTACCCCAGAAAATAAAAATTTTCAACACTAAATCATTCCAGATAACTGTATGGGTTCTCATCCAAACAGCTGTATGGGATTTTTGAAATGACTAGCATGATTTAAGCATGAATCAAGCAAACCACAGAGAAGCACTATTCTATTTTTATCTTTACATATTCTGTAAGCTATTGTTGTAGAAACAAGATGTGTGTTTTTTTCCTTTATAAACTGAGTCAAAAAAATATATAAAAAATAAACACACAAGCAGCTCTTAATATGTCTTATCCTGATGTTATGCTAAAAATGTCAGACTTCATTTTCAGCTTATCACATGCAAAATGCTTTTATACTTTTAAAGCATGCAACTGACAAAATCAGAGAATAATCTAAATGAATTAATCTGGAGGAATGATTCTTATTTCAAAAGAAATCATGAAATTAGAGCTGTATATGCTATAAATATAAGACTATTCTAACCTATCTAATTCTAGCTTCTACTACAATTTTCCATACAAAAAAGAGAACCATTACTTTGCTTTGAAATCATATTGCCTGACAGAGAAAAGAACTTGATAATAGGAAGGAAAGAAATTATAATTCTTATGTCATTCACACCAATCTGAATAATAAAATCATATTTAGGATAAAAGGAGACTAAGAAACAGGAGGATAAGGGGATTCAGACAACAATTCTAATAATATATCATAAAGCAAAGCAAAGCAAAGGAATAACACAAACATGGCTTTGAATACACAAAAGAGTTATCTACAAGCAAAAAGGAACGGTCTCTATCCTACTAAAGCTACAGGGTTTGTACAAGACAAAAATGAGCCAAGTTGTGAAGTCCCCCCCTCAAATGCACCTATCACCATTTTTTTCTGACTTTGCAATAGAGGGTTAAGCAGTCCTTTCAAACATATAGGCATAGGCTATAAGCATTAATAGCAATCCCATGCCAAACGGACATATTCTACTTCCATGCCTTTACAGTGCAAATCACCATGGGGAAGATCCTTACCTCTATTTTCTTTGTTATCAGGTGCCACTCCTAACCCTAGCTTCAAGTTCTTTTGACTTCCTACACTGGGACTTGTTCTTTCTTCAGGACTGGTGTTACTAGTTTCATGATCTAAAACAAAAGTGTTCAGAATCAATTCCATGATTTAAGTCTAAATCAGGATATCTTCCCTTGCTCTCACATCAGTTCCATGCAGTTGATAAAATCTTGGCATTTCCTTACAAACACAAAAACCTTTCTTTCCTCATATTCTACATCTAACTCCAGAGAATATAACACAAGGTATACTTCCAACCATAAACCTTTTGTATTGATACGTCAAATACACATTCCTCCAGCACTGCATTTCATTCATTAGTGATCAATTCAAACTGGTCTCAAGCACAAAATTATCCAAGCATAGTAGATATCCATTTAACTAACCTGTTTCTTGCTGACCCTCTTGAGCCTGTTGGTTTAGTAAGTAATTTCGGAGACATCGCAGTATCAGGAGCATGAAGTGAACATTGCTCGGCAGATCCAGCTTCCGGCTTGTATACTGGTAAAATCTACGTGCTGCAGCTCGATTTTCCTCAAGTAAGGCCAAGGTTCGGTGCAAGAGTTCCTTAGAAAGATATAGCATTTATTATCAGCTTCTCATAAGTTACAACTATATTTTCAAGTCAGAAAGACTACAGAGTATAGACATTTTCAAATTTAGCATTCTTTGAAACTTTGAAGAGGGGGAACACAAAAAAAGCAATAAGCATCTACATAACATAAGTCAAATATAAAATCAACACATAAAATTCCAATACAAACCTGGTCTTCTCTCTGAATGGGATGGAATGTATTCAACAACAACTGAGTTATGAGTTTGCATATGACAGGTGTATCTTCCTCCAAACGATGCAGGATGTGGTTCATCGGCACTATGTCCCAATACCTAGGTTTACATGATCACTATTATTATAAGAGATTATTTCCTTATTATCATTACCATCATAATATCATATTTTCCATTATATCATCCATTATATACATAAAACATCCCATTTTCCCTACCTGATAATCTTTAATGATTTAACCTTCAACAACAACTTCACAAAGGTAGAACGAACATTTCCATTGATATCGTCAAAGGCATCTCCAATACGAGGTAAGACTTCTTTCAAAAATGGTACAGCATCATTGGAATCTAACATGAGGATAATACCCTGAAAAAGCGAGAAAAAAAACATCAATATGATCTTTCTAATGAAAAAAGAATCAATATTATATGAGTATTACGCTCTCACTCTTTTGACTGTAGAAATTTCAAGATAATGAAAAAAAAAAGACATTATAAAGAAAGAACCTTCCCTTTAATTCTAGCTAC